GGAAGAGGGAAAAGTGGATCATGCTTATTTGGGGACTAGGTCCACATTCTCCCCGCTCTGTAGAAACCTGAGCAGGGCTTCGGGGCTGAGTCTCCCATCAGTCCAGAGATAGAGTGATGGGTTTCAATAAAGCATTGAAGCAAATCTTAATCTTTTTTCTTTCTTTCCCACTTTCCTTTTTTTTTTACCCATCCAGTAAAAAAAAAAAAAAAAAAAAAAAAAGAAACATCCTTTTAAGAGAACCAGATAATTTATTTCAATTAGCACTAGGGAATTCCTGGGTCACAGAGCACAAATACTTAAAAATGAATGAATTGCTTAGTTAGCTTAGGAAACATTTTCTGTAATGGAATGGCTAAAACTGATGAATGTGAATATCAGATGCTTCTTTCTAACTGCCCAATACGACAGACTCAGAGTGGTAATAAGGAGGCAGTGGTAATAAGAGGAATTACAGCAAGGAGATGGAGGCTAACCCTGCCCATTTGTGTAAACAGGTATAATGAACGTGTTCCAAGGAACCCTGCCAGAACACATAAAGCTTTCATTTTCTCATAGTATACCTGAACTAGAGAAGTCCCTTAGAGTTGGAAGCATTCTAAAGTAGTGCCAGCTGAGCAAATGTACACTCAAAATATACCAGAAAACATATTTTAAAAGTCCCAAACCTGTAATTCACTGTGCCTGTGACAAACCATCCACAGACTTCAGCTCCTGGCTCTGGCTCCTCTTTAGCAGAAACCTGTACCAAACTCATTGGAATAGAAGTATAATTCTCAAATCTTTTCCTTTGGGGTAAAAAATAGCAGTGCTAAAATAATTTACAGTCCTCACTTCCACCCTCCTTCCCCCAAAATGTCACCGTTGCCAAAAGTATAAATGGAACTCTGGTTCAGGCATTTCTAATTCTTCTCCCAAGAATTAAAGCACATAAAAAGTAAATTCTTGCAGAAACCGGTTTGGCTCAATGGATAGAGCGTCGGCTTGGGGACTAAAAGGTCCCGGGTTCGATTCTGGTCAAGGGCATGTACCCTGGTTGCGGGCATATCCCCAGTAGGGAGTGTGCAAGAGGCAGCTGATCAATGACTCTCTCTCATCGATGTTTCTAACTCTCTATCTCTCTCCCTTCCTCTCTGTACAAAATCAATAAAATATATATTTTTTAAAAAAAAGTAAATTCTTGCGCTAGCTGGGTTTGCTCAATGAATAGAGTGTTAGTTAGCCTGCAGACTGAAGGGTCCCAGCTTCAATTCTGGCCAAGAGCACATGCCTGGGTTGTGGGCTCGATCCCCAGTGGGGGCGTGTAGGAGGCAGACAATCAATGATTCTCTCTCAACATTGATGTTTATATCTCTCTCTTCCTCGCCCTTCCTCTCTGAAATCAATAAAGAGATATATATATATTTTTTAAATACTTCAACACTAGATTTTAAAAGGGGTCCACATACATTTTGAGTTCATTATCTATACATCTTCTTCATTTGTATCAGCAATCATATAATTACTGCCCAACTCTCAAGAAACCAGGGTGCATATCCCTTGTCCTTTACTCCTCCACCTATGAGTTGTGATGGGGCCAGTGAACCTTTGCAAATTATTGGAACCCTGAAAGTCGTTCCTACCCTTGAGTGCCAGGGTTAACCAGTTTTCATTTACATGATAAAAATGGTAAGTCTGAGTACAGACAATAATACCCAGAGCACTAATTTTCCCCTTTGCTTTTGACTCTATATTCAACATCTGGAAGGCCCACCCACACCCAAATTCACAACATCCACAAATGAATTCATCCTCTTTCCCCAAAACTCAGTCCTTCCATATTTTATTTCTCTTTGTAAGTGGTGTCATCTTCTGGCTCAAGCCGGAAACCCAGAAATTATTCTTGACACTTCCTTCCTCCCTAATTCACTCCATCAGTAAATTCTACTACTTCTATTATACTTAAAAGAGTTTTTTTTTTCTCTCCACCTCCATTATCATCATTAGGAGGCAGTAGCCTCCTAACTTATCTCCCTGCCTCTACTGGTTCCACCTTTAATAATTCTTTCTTCATACATTAACCAGCAGAATTTTTATATAACATGCATCAAATCATGTTACTATCCTAAGATTCAATGGTGAAGATGTCAATTTTCCACAAATCGATATAGAGCTTTAATGCAATTCTTATCAAAATCTCTGGAAATGTTTTTTTTTTTTGTAAATATAGACAAGATTATTCTAAAATTTACATGGAAATGCAAAGGAGCTAGACTAGGACAAACAATTTTGCATAATAAAATAGGAACAATCATGCCACATGATTTCAAGATATAACTACAATAATCAAGACTGTGTGGTTTTAGCAGAGGGACAAACACATAGATAAGAGAAACAGAATAGAGAATCTAGATATAGACCCACACAAATATGCTCAACAGAGTTTTTAAAAAGGCACAAAAATTCAAATGGTGCTGCAGCAATTGGACATTCGCAGGCAAAAGGATGAGCCTCAACTCAAAACTCAAAGCTTATATAAAAATCAACTCAAAATAATCACAGTCTTAAATGTATATATAAAAATTCTATAAATATTTTAGAAACGACTAGGAGAAAGTATTCAGGATCTGTGACTATGCAGAGTTCTTAAATATAAGCTGACTCATAGGGGGAAAATTTATGAATTTGGCCTCATCAAAATTAAAAACTTTTTGTTTGTTAAGGGTATAAAACTTACAGAGTTCCAATTATAAAGGTACAAACAACCAATTATAAGATAAACTAGAGGCCTGGCACATGAAATTCGTGCACGGGTATGGCCTGTGATCAGAGCCACTTTCCCCAGCTGCCCGTAGCCAGCCCCACCCCTTGCCACCACCCACCCCCAGTTACCTGTTCACCATTAGGTGATCCTTGCCTGACAGCTGGGGGAAGGAACCAAGAGATTGAGAGGTGGCTGTTCCTGCCTGCTAGCTGGACCCACCCCTGCTGCAGCTAGTCATCAGGCATTGGAGCCTGCTGGCTGGGGAAAGGGACCAAAAGATGGTGAGTGCACCAACAAGTGACTGATCCAGCAGTTGTTCTGCTGATTCTGCTGTTCTGGTCAATTTGCCTATTACGCTTTTATTATATAAGTATTGATATGCAATGTAAAACATAATGACTACAGCTAACACTGCTATAAAGTATGTTAGAAAATTGCTAAGAAAATATATCCTAAAATTCCTCATCACAAAGGAAAACTTTTTGTAATTATATAAGGAGATAGATGTTAAACATTTTGTGATCATTTTGTTATGCCCAGATTTCGTGATCCCCACGGACCACCAGGGAGCCGAGTCCCATGCAACAACAAAAAGCCTGTATTCGGACTAGTCCAAACTCTGTCTTACTTACACTAACAGTGGTGTGGCAGAAGAGATAGCTTCAACAGATTAAAGGGTTTTATAAGGGTCTGGGGGAGGGGTGGTAATGTCACTGCTTTGGCTGGCCCCGATTGGTTGGATGAGGGCTAAGGTCCAGTTACAAAATGGAGGATCAGAAGTTAGCCCTGCCCTGCCTCACAGTACAAAATGGAGTCAGGAGTTAGCCTCGCCCCACCCTGCCCTCTCATTCCCCCCTTGTCTTGAGACTTACAGGCCCAATCATGGGACCCTTTGCACTTCTGAAGGGTGTATAAAGTTCCTCCTTCCCGGTGCCCTGATCTGACATTTTGGGGGAGTCCATGAGATGTGTCCAGTGGAGATAGAAGACTACACGGCGGGGTCAGGAGTGTCCAAGGCACATGCAGAAGTGAGTCTTTCCTCCCGAACCAGAGTATGGGGTGTGGGGACTCCCAGCAGCCGGAGCGGCCACAAACAGAATTTCCAGTATCAGGCAGGTTGAGTACACCATAACTTGAGCTTGCAGGGGTTGAGGGGGTTGTCTCAGTCCCAGTTGATGCTCCATCAGTTGGCGAAGTCTTCCGGATCACAGAGGAGTCAGCTGGCCAAACATGGGTGTGGTGGACCCAGGTCGCAATGCTGTCCACTTTGAGGGTGGTGGGCGTCATCAACACCACGATATATGGTCCTTTCCAACATGGTTCAAGAGTCTCCCAGCAGTGTCTTTTGACAAAGACCCAGTCTCCCTGCCGGTACTGGTGAGGTGGCAGAATCGGACCAGCCTCATAGATGGCCTGTAGATGTGGCCAAATGTCCTCATGCCCTCTTTTTTTTTTTTTTCCTCGTGCCCTCTTAAAGAAAAAGATATTTGTTGGTTTTCAAATTCAGTTAGCAGTTCTGCCTTAAGATTGGGGATGATAGGCAGGGGCCTACCACACATAATTTCATAGGGAGTGAAGCCTAGGGTATAGGGTGAGTTCCTCACCCAGTAAAGAGCATAGGGAAGGAGAGCCACCCAGTCCCCACCAGTCTCCATGGTTAATTTAGAAAGGGTCTCTTTTAATGTTCTATTCATTCTTTCTACCTGTTCTGAGCTCTGGGGCATATGCGCACAATGTAATTTCAAATCTGCCCCTATAGTCTTGGCTACTGCCTGTGTTACCTGTAAGATGAAAGCCGGGCAATTGTCTGATCCTATCATAGCTGGGAAACAGTACCTGGATAGAATGTCCTCCAGTAGCTTCTTAGTGACCATCTGGGCTGTTTCATGCTTAGTTGAGTATGCTTCTACCCATCCAGAAAAGGTGTCTACAAAAACTAGAAGATATTTATAGCCATACTTTACTGGTCTTACTTCAGTGAAGTCAATCTCCCAGTGCACCCCTGGCTTAGTTCCTCTGAGCCGGGTTCCTGTTCCACTTGACCCAGCCCTTGCATTTGTAAGCTGGCAAGTTTTACAGGCTGATACAATTTGATCTATTCTGGCGTCCAGCTGGTGAATTTTGATCTTAGCATGCCGGACCAGATCCTTTAGTTTCCGGGGCCCTAGCTGAGTTGATCAGTGTATGTGTTTCAACATCGGGATCCCATGCTGGTCTGGTAGCAGGAGCTTCCCATCTGGAGCACCAACCTCTGACTTCTTTGGTCGTGGGGTAGCTTTTGATTCATTGTAGTTCTTCCTGGGAGTATCCGGGTTGATCCGGCAGGACTGGGTTCCCTGGGTCTGGCAATTGCAGGGCCAGTGCAGGGACTGCAGTGAGGGCTACTTCTTTGGCCACCTGGTCAGCCTTCTGGTTGCCCCTGGCTACAAGATTGTTGGCTTTCTGGTGTCCTGGGCAGTGGATGATGGCTAACTTGGCTGGGAGCCATAAGCCAGCTAGCAAGTCGAGTATTTCTTGTTTACTTTTTATAGTCTTTCCTTCTGTTGTCAACAGCCTCTCCTGATAGATTGCCCCATGAATGTGAGCCTTAGCAAAGGCGTAGCGGCTATCCGTAAAGATGTTGAGTCATTTCCCCACCCCTACCTTCAATGCCTTTGTTTGGAGTGATGATTTCTGCCCACTAGGCAGAGCCTCTGCCCATAAGGTGTTAGTCTCAGTTACTACTGCCTCACCCACGTACCTGTGCCTGTTTCTCATGAAGCTGCTCCCATCGGTGAACCATGTGGCCTCTGCATTTGAGAGGGGCCGGTCTGTCACAGGTCCTTCCAAAGTCCATGCACCTGTTCCAAGATCCCCGCACAGTCATGTAGCGGGGAGTCCAGGTTGGGGTCAGGCAGGAGAGTTGAGGGGTGGAGGGCTGCACTGGGGCAGAACTGCACTCTTGGAGGGTTTAGAAGGAGGCTCTGGTAATGAGTCATGAGTGCATTACTCATCCATCTATCAGGTGGCTGTTTTGGAACTCCCTCAACTGCATGGGGGGTTGTAATCCAGATTTCCTGCCCTAGAGTTAGCTTGCCAGCATCCTTCACTACCGTGTTTCCCTGAAAATAAAACATCCTCCAAAAATAAGACCTACTTACAGGTTTCCTGCTGAGTGAAATATAAGGCATCCCCCCAAAAATTAAGCCCCCCTAGGCTCTGTCTCAGAATGAAAATTAATTTACCTTAAACTGGTCGCTAGGACCGCCCCAACAGGCGACTAGCAACCAGTGACGTTACACGGAGTCCTGTTGTGTAGAGGCGGAGCAGAGGTCAGAGTGAGTGGTGAGCGCGGGGCTGGAGAGAGGAGGAGACTTTCCCAGATGCCTGTAGAAGAACAGGAGGATTAGAGAGGACTGGATGTGGCAAAGGTGGTGAGTGCTGGTCTGTCTCTGGTGACACTACCTGATGCTCGCGGCCGCCCTCATGATGACTGAAGGTTCTCAGTCAGTGGCAGACCCTGCTCCAGCCCAGATCCAGGCCCAAGTAAGCCCAGTGACAGTCCCCAGGCAGGCCCCAGGGGGTAAATTTCTGATAAAGGGGTAGGGGGGATGTCTGGTGAAGGTGTTCAGTGGCACAGGGGTGGGGGCGATCACTTAAAATGATACAGGAGGATCAGAGGGGCAATCAAAATGACACAGGAGGATCAAAAGGGGTTACTAAAATGGTAATCCCCCCTCTGACTCTCCTGTGCCATTTTGATTCTCCCCTCTGACCCCCCTTGTGTCATTTAAGTTGTCCCCATCCCCCCACCTTGATACCCCAACTCCTTTCTTTTCACCCCTAGAAATGAGCGCAAAAAGAAAAAGCTACTCCGTGGAGCACAAGAAAGGAATTGTGGAAGACTCTTGGGGCCAAAATATTACTGCTTTCTGCAAAGAGAAGATGTTGAGTATCTGATTGGTCCAAAAATGGCAAGCAGAGTATGGTAACCTCATTGAACAAGTGGACAAGGGAAATGCTAAAAAGCGCAAGTGTGGATCAGGTCGGCAACCATTATTTTTCGAGCTGGAAGACCTGATCTGTGAATGGGTGGTTGACAGGAGAGCACAGGCTTTGGTTGTGAATAGGGCTCAGATTCAAGAATTTGCCCTTGCAATGGCACCACAGTTTGACATAGCCCACAAAGACTTCAAAGCATCACAACACTGGCTGGATAATTTCCTTCAGTGAAGTGAACTGTCTGTAAGAAGATCTACAACATTGTTTAGGTTGGAAGATACTCAAGTTATTAAGCGAGCACTTGCATTCAAGTCCTTTATTGATGATGCTGACTTCTCTAAACACAGTCTTTCCAACATGATTGCTATGGATGAAACTGCAGTGTTTATGGGCCAATCATCTCAAACAACAATTGAACAGCGGAGTGCCTCCTTAGTGTACATTTCCTCCACTGCTTACGAAAGTGCACGTGTTTCCTGTATTTTGGCAATTCGTCTGGATGGCACTAAAATACCACCTTTAATCATTTCTAAGGGCAAGAAGGAAAAGATTGAACATGTTTTGGGCATTTTTATTCTTGAAACTGAAAAATCCTGGGCCACACAAGCAGTTATAAGGAAGTGGGTCGAATTAATGCTGCCGCTTGTTATGCGAGGGAGCCAAAGAGGTTTGCTAGTCTGGGATGCAGCCAACACTCACCACGCTAAAGACATGAAGACATTTCTTCACAAAAGAAAAATAGACCAGATAATGATTCCCACAGGAATTAGGGCCTATCTCCAGACTCTTGATATTGCCATAAACAAGCCATTCAAAGACAATTTGCGCATGGAAATTAATGACTACATTGAAAATAGAATGGAGAGAAATCAGCGTGGAAACTTTGTGAAATCTAAACTCCAAGAAGTTGTGACTTGGGTGAAGAATTCATGGAAGAAAATCACTGACAGTTGCATTGCAAATGCACTGCGAGCAGGCAACCTTGACAAGAAGTACTCATTTAAAGACAGTGCTATTGCTAAACATGAGAGATTTGGTCCACTGATTCTGAAAGAAATGGAGTCACAAGAAATTCACCAGGAAATTCAGGAATTGGATTGTTATGATGATGTTCCAGAAGATGACGACATGATTGTCATTGAATAAATGAGTAAATTCTTGATACTGTAGGATTCACAGTTTGTCTGTTTTGTGTTGACAACTACCGTACTTCCGTACCATATACAGGTAGTAAATTTCCTTTATTTTCATTTAAAGATAAATGTGTACCATATTCTTCTTCATGGGAAAATAAGACATCCCCTGAAAATGAGACCTAGCGCATCTTTGGGAGCAAAAATTAATATAAGACACTGTCTTATTTTCAGGGAAACAGGGTATTAGTGCTGTTGCCGCAATGATCCTCAAGCACGGTGGCCAGGCGGCAGCCACTGGGTCTAATTTCTTAGACAAGTAAGCTACTGGATGGCTCCAGGGGCCCAAGGCTGGAGTTAAAACCCCCTTCACTATCCCTTTGTGCTCATCTACAAAGAGGTGAAAGGGCTTTGTAATGTCTGGCAGTCCCAGAGCCTGGTCATCTAGGAGGGCCTTTTTCAACTGATTAAAGGCAGCTTCTTCTTTCTCTTTCCTTCAAATGTCTCCCCCTCTCTGGTAGCTCCATATAGGGGCCTGGCGATCTCAGTAAAACCTGGAATCCAAAGACAGCTGTAGCTGGCTGACCCTAAGAATTCCCTTACTTCTCTTTGAGAGGTGGGTGTAGGGATCTTTAAGACAGTTTCTTTTCTGGCATCTGATAACCGCCATTGTCCGCCCTCCAAGATGTAACCCAGATAACTTACCCTCTCTCTGCATATCTTTGCCTTTTTTGTGGATGCCTGATACCCCAAAGCTCCCAGGGTAACCAGCAGATCCTGGGTTCCTCGTTCACAGTCCTCGGCCTTGTCGGCATCAATCAGGATGTCATCCATGTACTATAGGAGGGTGAGGCCAGGGTGCTCCCTTCTGTATTCACCCAGGTCCTCGTGTAGCACCTCATCAAAGATGGTGGGTGAATTCTTGAACCCCTGAGGCAGTCGTGTCCAGGTGAGTTGTCCGCTGTAGCCCTCCTCTGGACCATACCACTTGAAGGCAAACAAGGGTTGGCTTCTGGGTGCTAGCGGCAGACTGAAGAAGGCGCCCTTTAAATCTAGTACAGTATACCAGACTCTGGAGGGCACCAGGGAGCTCAAGAGAGTGTATGGATTGGGGAAAGTTGGGTGTATGTCCATGACTCTTTTATTTACTTCCCGGAGGTCTTGCACCGGTCAGTAGTCATTTGTGTGAGGCTTCTTGACCGGCAGTAGGGGGGTGTTCCAGGCAAACTGGCAGGGAACCAGCACCCCTAGACTCCGCAGTCTCCGGATGTGTAGCTGAATTCCCTCCTGGGCCTCCTGAGACATGGGGTACTGTTTGATCCTTTCTGGACCTTCTCCTGGCTTTAGCTCCACTAGGACTGGGGTCCTGTGAGCAGCTAGTCCTACCCCTCCTGACTCTTCCCAGGCTGTGGTAAATTCTTGTAGCCCTCTATCCATGTTATCCCCCCTTGGGAGAGCCTCCTGGTGGAGGCGGTACTCATCTTCTAGCCTCAGAGTCAGAACGTGGATGGGGTGGCCCTTGCCATCAGTGACCTGAGGCCCCTCTTGTCTGAAAGTTATCTGAGCTCCAATCTTGGTCAGTAAGTCCCATCCTAACAGTGGGTAGGGGCATTCTGGTATTACCATGAAGGAGTGGGTTACCCGGCCTGTTCCTAGATCCACTGTTCTTCGGGTAGTCCATGAATACTGGTTCATACCAGTTGCCCCTTGCACCCAGCACTTTTTGCTAGTTAGTTTTCCTTGTGGAGTGCAGAGGACCAGATGCTGCACTCCGGTGTCAACAAGGAAGTCAACAGGGGTCCCCTCCACTCTAAGAGTTATCCTGGGCTTGGGGAGGGGGTCCGAACCCCGACTCCCCTAATCACTTAGTTCATCAAGCTCTAAGACCTTTACTCGGTCTGTCTTGCTCCCTGTCTTACCACTGTCCTTCTTCAGACATTCTTGAGCCCAATGCCCTATCTTCTTGCAGCATGCACACTGATCCTTCTGCAGTCTCCACCTCCCTTCCCCAGAGGTCTCCTTACCCTTCTTTTGATCGCTCGCAAACTGTCAGAGGCGGAGGTCCCGTTTCTCGGGGGAATTCATAATGGTAGCCAATAGGATCCTAGCCAGGTCTCGGGTCTGCCTGTTGCTGGCAGCCATCAGGGCACGAGCCCGTTTATCTTCAGGGGGCTCCCGGTTATTGTACACCTTTTCAGCCACCTCCAACAAGTCCTGCAGACTTTTCTCCCCTAGTCTATCTATTCTTTGCAGTTTTCTCCTAATATCTGCAGCACACTGGTTTACAAAGGCTATAATAACAGCCACCTTGCTCTCAGGAGCCTCTAGATCCATGGGGGTATAGGTGTGGAATGTCTCCATGATCCGCTCTAAAAAAGCTGCTGGACATTCATCTTTCTCCTTCTGTACGCTCCCCATCTTAGTCAAATTAGTCAGCTTTCTGGCAGCCGCCCTGAGACCCCGCATTAGAGCCTGGCGATAGACCCAGAGCCTCTCCATACCTTCTGCTGTGTTGAAATCCCATTCAGGCCTAGTCAGAGGAAAAGAGGTATCTATCTGAGCCTGGTTGGTGGTAGGATTCCCATCCACGCCCTGATTCAGCTTCCAGGCCTCATTAAGGATCCTCTCCCTCTCCTCGGTGGTGAACAGGACCTGCAAGAGCTGCTGACAGTCATCCCAAGTTGGCTGATGTGTAAAAAGGACAGAATCTAGCAAATTAATAAGCCCCACTGGCTTCTCAGAAAATTTAGGATTTTGAGCTTTCCAATTATAGAGGTTGCTAGTGGCGAAAGTCCAGTAGTGATGGGGCTGATCGCCCCTCTCATCTGGGGACCAGTGACTCACAGGGGTAAAGTCTTAACAGTGTAGTCAGCGATGGAGGTAGAGTGTTCCCTCTGGGCTCTTTGTCTGGTATACCACGGGCTTCCCGCTCTCCTCATGGTGTCTGCTTCCCTTAGTGGGAGAGGGTCAGGTCCCCCCTCTGGCACCCTAGGGAACTGATATGGGGGAGGAAAAATTAATTCTTCTTCAGTTCCCGCCTGCGAGACAGAGTAGGGGGGAGCTGATGGTAGGGTGATTTTCTTCTCCTCTGTCCTCTCCATTCTCTGTAAGGCAAAAATAGGTTCCGGCTCCGAGGGGCGAGGAGCCATGAAGGGCTTAAGCCAAAAGGGTGGGTTCTCCACAAGGTCCTGCCACATCATAATGTATGTGAGCTAATCTTGGTAACCCATCTTGGGTCGAGAGACAACACTCTGAACCCGGCGAAGAGTAGGGAGATTGAATGTTCCCTCTGGTGGCTATCAGACATTGAAAGCTGGCCATTCACTAGAACAACAAGTCTGCCATAGGCCCTTCTGGACCTCCATACTAAAATTGTTAGCTCTTTCCTTAACTTCCTGAAAATGATCAATCTCAATGCTCAAAAGAGTAATTGAATCTGTCCCATAACATCCATACAGTGAGTCCACAGAATAACACAGAAAATCACAACAACAAACAAGAAGAGGGGGCCCAACATCAACATTTTCAGTATTATAACAATTCAATACATTTAGAGCTAAGTTTTTATCATTTGATTTAGTAAACTTCTAAATTCTTTTCAAAATGGCCGGAATTTCCCTGCTGGCTACTTGCCTAAGGGCGGGAAATTTCAAAAGCTGCTTTAATTGCCTTGGGAAACTGCCCTGTTCCCCCCAAAATAAGACAGTGTCTTATATTAATTTTCGCTCCCAAAGATGAGCTAGGTCTTATTTTCCCATGAAGAAGAATATGGTACACATTTATTGTTAAATGAAAATAAAGGAAATTTATTACCTGTATATGGTACGGAAGTACGGTAGTTGTCAACACAAAACAGACAAACTGTGAATCCTACAGTATCAAGAATTTACTCATTTATTCAATGACAATCATGTCATCATCTTCTGGAACATCATCATAACAATCCAATTCCTGAATTTCCTGGTGAATTTCTTGTGACTCCATTTCTTTCAGAATCAGTGGACCAAATCTCTCATGTTTAGCAATAGCACTGTCTTTAAATGAGTACTTCTTGTCAAGGTTGCCTGCTTGCAGTGCATTTGCAATGCAACTGTCAGTGATTTTCTTCCATGAATTCTTCACCCAAGTCACAACTTCTTGGAGTTTAGATTTCACAAAGTTTCCACGCTGATTTCTCTCCATTCTATTTTCAATGTAGTCATTAATTTCCATGCGCAAATTGTCTTTGAATGGCTTGTTTATGGCAATATCAAGAGTCTGGAGATAGGCCCTAATTCCTGTGGGAATCATTATCTGGTCTATTTTTCTTTTGTGAAGAAATGTCTTCATGTCTTTAGCGTGGTGAGTGTTGGCTGCATCCCAGACTAGCAAACCTCTTTGGCTCCCTCGCATAACAAGCGGCAGCATTAATTCGACCCACTTCCTTATAACTGCTTGTGTGGCCCAGGATTTTTCAGTTTCAAGAATAAAAATGCCCAAAACATGTTCAATCTTTTCCTTCTTGCCCTTAGAAATGATTAAAGGTGGTATTTTAGTGCCATCCAGACGAATTGCCAAAATACAGGAAACACGTGCACTTTCGTAAGCAGTGGAGGAAATGTACACTAAGGAGGCACTCCGCTGTTCAATTGTTGTTTGAGATGATTGGCCCATAAACACTGCAGTTTCATCCATAGCAATCATGTTGGAAAGACTGTGTTTAGAGAAGTCAGCATCATCAATAAAGGACTTGAATGCAAGTGCTCGCTTAATAACTTGAGTATCTTCCAACCTAAACAATGTTGTAGATCTTCTTACAGACAGTTCACTTCACTGAAGGAAATTATCCAGCCAGTGTTGTGATGCTTTGAAGTCTTTGTGGGCTATGTCAAACTGTGGTGCCATTGCAAGGGCAAATTCTTGAATCTGAGCCCTATTCACAACCAAAGCCTGTGCTCTTCTGTCAACCACCCATTCACAGATCAGGTCTTCCAGCTCGGAAAATAATGGTTGCCGACCTGATCCACACTTGCGCTTTTTAGCATTTCCCTTGTCCACTTGTTCAATGAGGTTACCATACTCTGCTTGCCATTTTTGGACCAATCAGATACTCAACATCTTCTCTTTGCAGAAAGCAGTAATATTTTGGCCCCAAGAGTCTTCCACAATTCCTTTCTTGTGCTCCACGGAGTAGCTTTTTCTTTTTGCGCTCATTTCTAGGGGTGAAAAAAAAGGAGTTGGGGTATCAAGGTGGGGGGATGGGGATAACTTAAATGACACAAGGGGGGTCAGAGGGGAGAATCAAAATGGCACAGGAGAGTCAGAGGGGGGATTACCATTTTAGTAACCCCTTTTGATCCTCCTGTGTCATTTTGATTGCCCCTCTGATCCTCCTGTATCATTTTAAGTGATCCCCCTCCCCCCTGTGCCACTGAACACCTTCACCAGACATCCCCCCTACCCCTTTATCAGAAATTTACCCCCTGGGGCCTGCCTGGGGACTGTCACTGGGCTTACTTGGGCCTGGATCTGGGCTGGAGCAGAGTCTGCCACTGACTGAGAACCTTCAGTCATCATGAGGGCGGCCGCGAGCATCAGGTAGTGTCACCAGAGACAAACCAGCACTTACCACCTTTGCTACATCCAGTCCTCTCTAATCCTCCTGTTCTTCTATAGGCATCTGGGAAAGTCTCCTCCTCTCTCCAGCCCCGCGCTCACCACTCACTCTGACCTCTGCTCCGCCTCCACACAGCAGTGATGTCAGGACTCCGTGTAATGTCACTGGTTGCTAGTCGCCAGTTGGGGCGGTCCTAGCGACCAGTTTAAGGTAAATTAATTTTCATTCTGAGACAGAGCCTGGGGGGGGGCTTATTTTGGGGGGGGATGCCTTATATTTCACTCAGAAGGAAACCTGTAAGTAGGTCTTATTTTTGGAGGATGTTTTATTTTCAGGGAAACATGGTAGCTTGTATTTCTCTCCCGGTTCATGTTCACCATCCCCAAAGCCAAAAAAACAGCCCAGGGTTTTCACTCTACACACAGAAAAGAGTCAAGCCTAGCTCAAAAACTATGCACACTACTTTTTAAACTGGTCTTTTCCCCTTACATGAGCACAGAAATCCCCGATCCATAAAAGCTTTACGTTATTAGCTGGAAAAAAAAGATGGTGAATGTGAGGCCTCTTATGGCGGCTTTTTTGGGAAGTCGCGTCCACATTGGATCGCCACGTGTCTTCCCTCCCCCACCTCCTGCCTGCTCTGGGGGAAAGAGTCAACAATGTTCTGGTATCTATTGTTAAATTTGTACCTTTAAATTAACCTTAGCACTTTAAAATTTCAATTTAATATAGCAAATTTACAAACAAGAGCAAACTGAAACCCTTTCTTATACAAACATACAAACATTGAACACAGAAACAGACAGTAGGCCCCTAAGAACAGTTCCAACTCCATGGAAGCAACACTGAAAGTTAGATGACGGCCTCACGCTGACTGGTGGAAGCAACTCGCCTCCTGCCTGAGAGGGGATTCCATTTCCCTCCTGCCTGAGAGGGGATTCCATTTCCCTCCCGGGAGGATTGAAACGTCTTTCGAACCCTCCAGTCCATGGTCTTCCAGCAGTGCATCTACCTAGATCTCTTTGGCCACTACTGCCATGAGGGGATTCCACATCCCTCCAGAGCCAGCTTACACAAGCACACAGACACACACGCACACACCTACCACAGCCAGTCAGGCTCTCCAGATCAGGGACCCTCAGGGTCTTGGGGATCCCGGACAAGCCCCCAACTGTTATGCCCAGATTTTGTGATCCCCAAAGACCACCAGGGAGCCGAGTTCAATGCAACAACTAAAAGCCTGTATTCGGACTAGTCCAGGCTCTGTCCCACTTACACTGACAGTAGTGTGGCAGAAGAGAGCGAGCTTCTACAGATTAAAGAGTTTTATAGGGGTCTGGGAGAGGGGTGTTGATGTCACTGCTTTGGCTGACCCTGATTGGTTGGGTGAGGGCTAGGGTCCAGTTACAAAACGGAGGATTAGGAGTTAGCCCTGCTCTGCCCCACAGTACAAAATGGAGTCAGGAGTTAGCCACACCCCATCCTGCCCTCTCAGTTTCACAATATATGTAGGTAATTATGCTGTACACCTTAAACTTATACAGGACTGTATATAAATTATATCTTAATAAAACTATAAAAATAAACATTTTTTAAAACTTTTGCTCTTTCAAACACTGTAAGAGGAAGAAAAGATAAGCTACAGACAAGAGACAAGAAGAAAATATTTACAAACCACATAATCTAGAATCTAGAATATATTTTTTAATTCCACATATAATAAAAGCAAAGTATTTGTCCTGTTCTATCTGACTTATTTCACTTAGCATAATACCCTCTAGGTCCATCCATGTTGTCACAAATGGCAAGGTTTCATTTTTATTGCTGAATAATATTCCACTGTATACTTAATTTTTTAAAAAAGGAATCTATAATATGTAAAGATCTATCAAAACTCTCAACAGGAAAAACAAAAACTCCATTTAGAATATGGACAAAAACATTAACAGACATGCATCAAAGATGATACATATACAAAAAATGTATATACACTTTACAGCCAATAGCTCAAGTGATGTTTTTTTCTTTTCAGATTTAACCCATTGGAATTAATAATTATTCAAAATGTTTATATATATTTTGAGACACCCTGTAGATAGCAAATAATCACATGAAAAGATATTCAACATCATCATCCATTAGAAAAATGCAAATTTTCTTAATGAGATATCACTGTATACCTATCATGAAAAAAAAGTGACAACATCAAATGGTGCAAATGTGAAGAAA